AATTTAGGTCTCTTTAATTCTTCTTAGACACTCTTAATTACTCCAATACTTTGGTAAGAGTATTTTTTGTGCATTGGCTGTTCAAATAACTGTATGGTTTATATCTCCTTATTGGACCATGACTAATAAGCCTATGTTTACAAATGCTAAGATAACTTACACTTCCCTATTTTTTCAAAACACACTGTGTGTAATTTAATGTCTATATCAAGCCATTAATCTAAAAGCAGGACTTCTCATCTAAATCACTAAGGATTCAACTTGAAATGTCAGATACATTTATTCAAGATTGCGTAAAATGTAAAATAGATAATAAAGATTTTCAGGAAAGGCATATTTTGCCACTGCTATTATTTAGACATCAGTCCAGGCTAACAATAAAATGCAGACTAATTTTATTATTGTTCTTAATTTTTAAAAATTGTTCTTAAATGTTCTACAGACAAAACTCCTATTTTACAGAGAGTGTTATGAAGATGTAACTAATATGCAAAATGTTGTAATATATGTAATTTGGTGACCTTGGACATAGGCAAACAGCATGAAACCAACACCATAATCATGATAATAAACATAAAAATCAACTCCAAAACTTCCTGTCTTTGTTATATTATATATATATATATATATATATATATATATATATATATATATATATAGTGGTACCTTGGTTCACAAACTTAATTTGTTTCACGATTTTGGAAAAGATGACCACATTTCTGATTGTGTGGGAAAGATGGCCATGGTTATGTTTGTCACCTGATGCAGAATTTGCAAACAAAAATAAAATTTTGCCAAATGTTTGTTTGCAAGCCAAATTGTTTGCAAATAAAAGCATTTGTGAACCACACGGAAAAGAAAGCATGATTTGAAGGCATCAGAACACTATCATGTTGGTTAGACAAGTTATAAGAGAAGACATAAGAGGAGACTCAAGCACCTGATGTAATTTTTTTCCACTATCTGGAAGCAAAAGCAATGGTTGAAGGGGCTGAGAAGCTGAGGAAACTTCTGACAATCTTCAGAAGCATAGAAGGCCACAGATTAGAGTAAGGAGGAGTTTTGGTGGGTGACCCAGAATCTGAGTTGGACTCTGGAGGGTCATCTCCATGGATGAAGACCAAACAAGAAATAGATCATGACTGGACCAAAAGGCCAGCTTTGAATCAACTCAATCCCTGATGAGAACAAATCAATCAACATCTAGTCTGCCATTCACAAGCAAAAAGAAGTCCTCTTTGTATTAAAATAGCATTATACAGAGTATAAAATTATTTCTACAAATGTTTAATAAAATATCCAACTACCATCCAAAGATAATCATGAAAAATTAAAAATGAAGGAAAAAATTCATTTACACTAGTATCAAAAAAAGGACACAAGAACAATGTATCACAAAGCATGTAAAACTTCTATACTAAAACTATAAAATACCACTGAGGTAAATTTTAAAAGACCTAGTGGAGAGCAAAAGTGTGATCTTGTACTTCAAGACTCATATCCATTCTTCTTAATTTCTAGATTCAATACAATCTCAATCAAGTTATTTTAGTTGCAGTTCATGGATTGATTCTAAAATATATATGGCAATTCAAAGGACCCATAATAGCCCAAACAACTATCAAATAGAAGAAAAAATTTGAAGGCATGATTTCAAGCAACACAATGTATGTCACTTACTAGAAAGCAAGAGTCATCAATATAATGTGGTATCGACAAAGAATGGACATATAGGTCACTAGAACAAGATGGAGAGTCCAAAAATAAACATATATATGCCCAACTGCTTTTCAACAAAGTTTAAGATAATTCACTGCGGAAGATGGTTCTGTCAACAAAAGTACTGAAACACTTGACAGTTTATGAATACAAATGAACCTTGACATTTAGCCTCACACTAAATACAAAAATCAACTTAAAATCAATAAAGAATTAGAAGCAATGAAAAGATTATTTAAGAGCTCTTGGACAACTTTAAAAGAACAAATTTAAGACTCACTGGCTTCAAGCAGTGTGAAAAAGTACAAGGCCAACAGCATAGAAAACCTACTCACCAAAATTATACCAGCAAATTTTCCAAAACTGGATAATGAGGTGGATACTCTGGTATTGGAGGCATTTAAATTTCCAAATATATATGAACAGAAAAAAGCCTCTACACAACATAACATAGTTAAGTTGCCAAATATTCAGAAGAATGAAAGAATATTAAAAACAGAAACACCAGATCACTTGTTATTCTAATGGCATACCCCTCAGAATAATATAAGATTTCTCAACAGAAATTGTAAAGGCCAGGAGAGCTTGGAATGATGTATTTCAAGCTCTGAAAGAAAATAATTGCCCAATTAAGTGATTATATTCTTTGAATCTATCTTTCAATACTGCAAGAGAAATAAAGATTTGCCAAATAAGTATAAACTAAAGAAACTCATGACCATTAGGCCAGCATTGCACAAAATACTTAACATAATCCTTAACACTGAGGAAGAGGACAATCATGCCACAATACTGGGAAAGAAAATCTCATTGGAAGAGTAAATGAATGAAAATCAGTAGTGAATCAAACACTAGAAAAACAACAAAATGACAGGAACTTCTACATACATTTCAATAGTAACTCAATGTAAATGATCATAATTCTCCAATTAAAGGATACAGACTGGTAAATTGGATTAAAAAAAAAAAAAGCAGGACCCAACTATATGTTTACTGAAAGAAACATATCTCTTCCAGAATTGTACACAGATGAAAAAAAAAAACAAACAAAAAACCAAGCAGGAGCAACTATACTTATATCTCCACAAAAGTACTCTTTAAAGTAAAATTACCCAGCAAGACAAAGCAGGCCACTACATATTGGTAAGTGGAACAGTTCACCAAGAAGAAATAACAATTGTGCACTGAATGTCGATACACCCAATTACCTAACTGAAATACTACTTGACATAAAGGGTCAGAGAAACCCCAATACAGTCATGGTGAGGAATTTCAATACCTCATTCTCACAAATAGATGGGTCAACCAGACAAAAATCATCGAGAAAGAAATATCAATTAAACTGCAGTACAGATTAAACGGACTTAACAGACATGTCAGAGTATTCCATCCAACAAC